TTTTCAAAAGATTTTGAAAAATATTTAAATCATCTCAATAAAGTATTTTACAAAATTTGAAATACTAATTTAAAACTTAATCTGAAAAAATATAACTTTTGCAGAAGAGAATTATCTTTTCTTAAATATATAATAACTGAAAAAAGAATTTCATCTAATTTATCAATTATTCAGAAGATAAAAGATTTTTCTTAACCAAGAATTATTAAAGAATTTAGAATATTTCTTGGCTTAGCTGGATACTATAAAAAATTTATAAAAAGATTTTCTCAAATTGCTACTTTTTTATTCAAAATACAAAATTATTTATTTAAATTATAAAACAAGAAAAAGTATTTCAATAAATTAAACAATATCTTATAACTATATCTATTTTAATTTATCCAGATTTTATAAAAAAATTCTATTTTTATGCTGATATCTTAAATTTTCAACTTGAAGCTATCTTATCTTAAAAAAATAAAGATAAAAAAGAATAAATAATTACTTATATAAGTATTATCTTAAAATCAAATGAACAAAAATATGAAGTAACTGAAAAAAAAGTACTAGTAGTAGTATGAATTATTAAATAATTTTATTATTATATATTTGAAACTATATTTAAAATAATCATTAATCACAATACTTTAAGATAATTATTTAAAAATTAATAAAGTTACTCTATTAAAGTAAATTAATAAATTATATCTCTTATGAATATATTTTTATTATTACTTATTAATCTGAAAGAAAGGATCAAAATGCTATTACTTTATCCTAAATATATTTAGAAGATCATTAAATAATTTTTCTCTTTATAATAATAATTTATAATAATATTAAATAATAAAATATATTCTATAAAATCAATTCTTGAATAATAATATAAAATACATAATTAAGTAAATCATTTTTTACAAATTAATAGTATAGTATACTATATAAAATTAATAGAAGAAAAGAACTAACTATATCTCTTAGAATTATTAAAGAAAATAAAATAAAAGCTATTTTTATTAATTTATATTTAAACTCTTTATCTGAATATTTTAAATATAAAAAAATCTATTAATAAATTATAAATAAATATTAATAAAATAAAATAAGAACTAATATAAAGAATTATATAAAAACTTATAAAATCTATTAGCAAACTGATAGAGGAATTACAAAATAATCTTTATACTCTATCAAAATTGAATAATCTTTTGATAGAATAGTTATTGATTTAATTGAATTTAATAATATAATAATAACTAAAAATTAATATATTATTATTACAATTAATTATCTTACAAAATAATCTGAAACTAAAATAATTTTTAACAAGAAAGCTACTATAATTGCAAAATTTATTTTTGAAAAAATAATTTATTGATATAAATATATTAAAGAAATTCAATCAGATAATAAATTAGAATTTATTAATGAAATAGTTAAAGAATTAATAACAAAATTTGAAATCAAATATAAATTTTCTTTATTTTATTACTTATAGATCAATAGAATAATAGAATATTTTAATAAAATATTATATATAATATTATAATAATTGATGAATAAGAATAAGATATTTTTATTTTTACTACTCTTTTTATCTATTAGACTAATTAAAACTTAATAACTAAGTATGAATAATTTTTCTTAACTTATAAATAAAATACTAAATTATTAATTAAATTAAAAATTTTTATTTATTTAGAAGAAGATTCTATAAAAGAAGAAAAATTAATATAATAAATATATTATATAATAGATCAATTATCTTAATAAATATTAAAAATAAAACAAAATATAGAAGAATAATAATTACAATATTCTCAAAAATATAATAATAAAATTTAAAAAAAAATAATATTCAAAATTGAAAATAAAGTATTAATATTTAATATAAAGAAATACTTAATAATTGGAAATAAATTTCAATCTACTTGGAGTAAAAAATGATATTATATTCATAACTATACTAGATATAACTCTTATAAACTTTATAATCAAAATAGAAATATTCTTAAATATTCTATTAATAAAAGACAAATCAAATATTATCATAATTATCAAAATTACTTTAAATCACAAATTATTATTAAGTAACTCACATGAATTATCTCTTAATTTTTATTATTTTTATATTTGAAATTATCTTTTATCTTATTTTTATTCATCTTTATATTTATCTTTCTCCAAAATTTTTAATATCTTATTATTTATAATAAACTATTAATTCAGAATTTATATAAATATTTCCTCTCTTTCTTTTTTCTTTTTCTTTATTTTTTTATATTATTCACTTTTTTATCAATTATCTTTTTCTTTTATTCTCTTATATCTTTTAAATTATTTTTAATATTCTTATTATTTTATTATATTTCAATTATCTATTTGAATTATTTCTTAAATTATTAAATCTTTTAAAAAGATATATCAAGAGATACTTATTCAATAACTTTTTAGAATGATTATATTCTCAATTTTTGGATTACTTACTTATAATAATGCTAAATAAGAAGTTCATATTTCTTTCTTAAATCTACTTATATAATTAGAATTTACTAAAAATATTGAATTAGATAAAATTTCTCTTTTGGATAATCAACTAATAACTAAACCTATTAAAATATTATTAGAACTAATTAATATGATTACTAACTTGAACTTTAACTATTTAAATATATTTATTATAATCTTACTGAAAGAAAACATTGAGATTAATAATAAAAAAACTGAAAAAGAAATAAAATTTATAAATTCTGATAGTTTAACTACTTCTGAAGAAAAATTTAAATTATCTATTTCTGTATCTAATAAAGTTAAACTTATCTATAAGAAAGACTGGCCAATAAAACTTAAAGAAGCTGTAATAAATTAGAATAATTATATTAGATTTATATTTTATTTCACAGATTATTACTATATCACATATTATACTATATGTAACTTACTATATTATATATGACTTACTATATCACAATTATCTGATTATATCAAAAAAGTCATATGATATATTTGAGTTATTTTAGCTATAGATAGTTTTCTTAATAGAATTTCTCTTTTCTCTTATTCTACTAATTTAGCTAATATATTATTAAATTTATATATTTTATTTATAATCATTTATTTCTTTATTTATTCATTAATAAATATCTTTCAGAGATACTATCATATAAGTATTATCTATTATTAATTTATTTATTTTATTATTGATTTTATATAACATTATTTTATTATTTAAAGATGTTATATCTGTTTTGTAATTTTAAGTATCAAGTATCAATAATATTAAATAAAGAATAAGTTTAAAAACATAATCTCTTGTCTGTTTTTGATTTAGTTTTCTGTGTAAATTCTATTTCAAATAATATCACTATATATCTTGAATCTTCTGTGTGAATTTTTCTAATATAATATTATATCCTGACTTTTTTGTATGAATTATCTGAATATATTACATTATGTAACTAGAAGATTACATCATGACTATCATATTTATTGAGTAACTTATAAGTAAATTTAATATACTTGAGAGAGTATTTTAAGATATCAAATTCTTAATATCATAAGTAATTTTTTAAGTTTACTATAATAAAATATGAATATGTATTAATTTCTTCTCATAATTTATTAGATATCTTAATATAAAAATCTAAATATAAATAGAAAAATTCTTAATATATATTCACTATTATAATACTAAGAATTATATTAATATCTATAATAACTTTTTCTTTATAATCATATCATATTTATTATTTATGATTAAAATTTTTATATATTTCATTCTATATATCTTTTGATTAGTAATATAAATAAAAAAAATAACTGACTGTATTTTTGAATTTTTTAAATATATTCAAATTATGAAAACTTTAATAATATATTTTAATTAATAAGTAATAATCTAATAAAAATTTATTTCACAAAATAAAATTACTTATTTTCATAAATAATTATCATCATCTTTAATTTTTACAATTCCAAGATTAGTTATTTTCTTTACTATCTTATTTTATATAATAATAATATTTAATTATATCAGTAAGTGAGTCTTATAAGTTATGTTAGCTATTCTATCAATATATATATTAGATATTAGATCTTGAATTTCATATTTAATAAAGTTACTCATATTAAAATAGTTAATTTCAATTCACATGATATTGCTAACATATTCTTGTAATTCTTTTGATATATATATTGTGATTCTAGCTGATAATATACACTCTTTATTTCTTTAATTCTGATTCTTTTACATGTCTTGTGATGTATATCATCCCAAGTAAATTAATTATTGGGAATTAAAACTTTAAAATTTAAGTATTATCTAAATTGAATCTAATATAACATATTTATCTAGATTTTTTAGATTTTAATTACTTGATAGTACACAAGAGAAATGGTATTTAAATATTATTATATTGAAGATGTATTTATTAAAATAATAAATCAGCTTAAATGATTTATATTAACTTTATTTTTTTTAATATATTATTAAATGCGACCGGATTAAGCTAAGTAATATCCCATGGATCGGAATTGGCAGATCGGAAGCGCCGGTGTCGATCAGCAATATCACGTGGCCCGAACTTTTAGGGGTCGCCCTGGCAGACTCTAATCAATTATTGTGAAACGTATTTTTTACGTAGAACTCAAATTCACGTTTTTCGTCAATTTCACATATATATACATATCCCGTTTTGGTTTTTTTTCTAATTTTTTTCGCTCATGAAATTCGCCTTTCCATTTCGATTGTGCAATAATAAACGAATTTTCTACTTGTATGCTTTATCTTCATTAGATGTCGGAAGAAAGGTGAGAAATAACTAGCCTCCGAATCTTTGAAGGTATAATTTGCAGTTTACTATAAATAATTACATTTTGCACATGACTCGATAATCAAATTAACCTTCGGAGATTCAATTTGCAACTATATAAAAAATCACATTTTGCGGTTGATCAACTCGATAATCGATTTTTTTCATGTCTGCATTCGCCAAATTTTAAGAATTCGCGAAATATAGTCAGAGCCCTGCTTAATCACCCGAATTGCATCAATACTCAAGCATCTAAATTTACGAAAGATGATGTAGAAGCACTGAGAGTGAGATTTCAGCCAGCATCCGAAGACCACGTTATTCCTAACGAGAAAGTCGAGGAATTTCCAGAACAGTACGTTTGCCCCAGAATAAACAGAAATATGCTCGGTAATTCAGAATTCAAAGTTGGAAAAATTAGCGATTTTTCAGATAGGAAGGTCCAAACCTTCTTTCACAAACTGCATCTCTTTACGAGAAACCTACCAGGGAATATCTGAATCTAGAACTGACGTGTTGGTCGATAATTTGCTTGATATTTCCGGGCTGGACGAGTGGCCCTTGAATATATCGTGAGCAATTTAAAAGATCTGTCTTATTCAAATGGCATCCTAAATTTTCCTTCTACAAAATCCAGAGCTCAACCACAAAGCAAACTATATATCTTAAATGAGCCTTGTGTTTCGGCAACTCCTGAATTTGTGATTAATAAAGAAACAATATCTATGGTTATTGCAGAAGTGTGTACTCTATTTAATTGTTCGGCAAGTCAATATCTTTGATTACTTAAATAGGTTTTTTTTACAGGATAAAAGCTTAAAAAACGTAAGCCCTAGAAACGATTTTGGAGAAATGCAAATTGCTGGTGAAATACTTGCTTGCGGAGATGAAAACATACGCGAAACTGGTGAACTTTTTGATCAGGTTTTATTTGCTGTTCGCTTTATCTCTACCTATGTTACATTTTACAAAGCCGAAATTCCCGCGAAATATTGGAGCTTGATGTGGGCTTACCAAAAAAATATTCAGTTGCAATAAAAAGATGGCCGGGAGAGAATAAGAAGCGAAGTGGTCTTGATCTTGCAGACCCAGATGGAAGGAAAACAGTATTAATTGCATTGACCAAAATTCGTCAATTTCTTTTGAAGTAGGCGAATCAGTAAGAATAGCATAATGGGATTGGTTTAACTGCGCTCGACACACAATTACAAGTATTTCACATATGATGTTATTATTTCTAATTACAATCTCTATCGCTATATTTTCAATTCAATTCTTGGATCTTGAAATCATGAATGATGTTACAAACATAAAAATAAAACGAGTTAATCACTTCATCACTTTATACGAAAAATATATCGATATGTTCTTTTTTCTTTTTGTTGATCACTTTGAGCATGTAATCCCTGATTTTTTCCGGGTATTGGCCGTATTTGACCACAATAATAGATATTGGGCACGATGTGCTATTTTAACATGATTTTTATTTTGGAAATATAATAACAAAGCAAAAAAAATAAGATACACATATTTAAACACTTATCTGCGATATGTATTATAAATTATTTGGTTATAGGTCGAAAATTTTAAACACTTGATCAACGAAACCCTTAATTTTTTGTATCCTTTCCAGAATAACAATTTCTGGCTTTTCATCGTACCACACTTCTAGAAGAAAAATTCCGTTATCTTGACATATGCATCTTTTTTTCCGATCACGGTTAACAATATCCTAGTATTTTGAAAGAGTTAAAATGCTATTTCATCTGAAAAAATAGTATGACTCCAGTTATTATTAAGATATTTCTGAGTCTATTCTACATATTTTCACTTGTGATCATTAATCAGCATAGATATTGCTCTTAAAAAACTTTTTTTATATCCAAATCTTGCAAATAGTTAATAACTATTACATGAATCACATTTATATCTATTTTCAATAACTTTTTTGTTAAAGCTCATATTGATAAGAAAAGTATCTTACTAAATATATTATCTAAATATCTTTGAAGTATTTCTGATAATTTTTTTGGAATAATCATTATTACCAGTATACTTGATAATTCTTATTTTTTTCAGTTTTTTATATTATTATATATTATTAAAAGTAAAATATTTATATGTATATAACTTATAAGTATTATATATTGTTACTATTTTAAGATTATGCATATGTAATTATTTTAAAATGGTAATAGTAACTGTGTTCACAGCAATTATTTACTTTTATGGCTT